CGACACTTCTTTATGAGACTCACATCATCAGCAAGATCAATAACTAGCTGGAAAACCTTTTGCACACACGCTCTGTTCCTCGATAAGTGCCCTCTAGAGGATCACACAGGAAGTAGAGAGTCATTGTTAAACTTTTTAATGATAACAAAGCTTGTACGAGCAATAATAACGGTGGCTAACGTTGTACAAAAGACCCAAACACTTCCATTAGGAGAAAATAACTGCCGATTCGGAAACGATGCAAATATAAAAACACAAATGTGCCGAAACACATTTAGAAACATCTCCACTAAAGAGTGACGCACACAGCTGGGAGACCAGGGGACACTAAAGAGTGACGCACACAGCTGGGAGACCAGGGGACACTAAAGAGTGACGCACACAGCTGGGAGACCAGGGGACACTAAAGAGTGACGCACTCAGCTGGGAGACCAGGGGACACTAAAGAGTGACGCACTCAGCTGGGAGACCAGGGGACACTAAAGAGTGACGCACACAGCTGGGAGACCAGGGGACACTAAAGAGTGACGCACACAGCTGGGAGACCAGGGGACACCTAAAGAGTGACGCACTCAGCTGGGAGACCAGGGGACACTAAAGAGTGACGCACTCAGCTGGGAGACCAGGGGACACTAAAGAGTGACGCACACAGCTGGGAGACCAGGGGACACTAAAGAGTGACGCACACAGCTGGGAGACCAGGGGACACTAAAAAGTGACGCACACAGCTGGGAGACCAGGGGACACTAAAGAGTGACGGCGCACACAGCTGGGAGACCAGGGGACACTAAAGAGTGACGCACGCAGCTGGGACGGAGCGCTTGGTGATGTTCAGGATTATAAAGCTGAACAACTGTCACTTCCTTACTACAAACCCCCCTCATTTTAACACACACACACACACACACACACACACACACACCTATATTAGTGTCACTGCTGCAGCTTCTTATAAACCAAAGAATACATTAAGTGTATATTTTCTTTACTGTAGGATACTTATCTCGTGTGTCAGGATTCACAGTTTAATCTGGTGACACTAAAAGAATAATAAGCACTCCCAATGTCATCCTTATTCCTCTCATTTAGCAAAATTGGCTTTTTCCACCAATTTGTTGCAATTTTGACAACTAGACAGGGATTTCAGTTTCATAGCAATGCATATTTTTATTTTTATTCACCCTCTTGCAAAGTGTGAAATCCTGTTTATGAATTGATTTCACTTCAAATCTCCCAGAAGAATGACTGTGTGTGTGTGTGTGTGTGTGTGTGTGTGTGTGTGTGTGTGTGTGTGTGTGTGTGTGTGTGTGTGTGTGTGTGTGTGTGTGTTCCTGTATTTGATGCATCTGTGTGTGTAGAATAAGAGACAGGAAGGGGAGGGGAGGAAAACCAAGTGGGCACACGGGTGCACGATTTAAATTGGCGTTCGAGCTCACCTCATTACATCTGAGAGAGGGAGAGAGTGTGTGTGATAAGGCTTAATAAATAATAACTCTGTTAAGTGATGAGACCTGCAGCGGTGGTGTGTTTGCAGCGGTGGCGTGCGATAACATCAGAAGTCATGTGATAAAATAAGACCATAAAACATTTTAGGTAAGTTTCCAACAACAGTGACAGCGGGCCAACTTTATAATCCCTGAATGTGCGTCACTCTTTAGTGTCCCCGTTTCATTTGCATGTGTTTTGGCACATTAGTGTTTTTTTATTTGCATATTTTTTAAACTGCAGTGCGTTCCTCCTAAGTGTTTTGGGCCGTTGCACCTGTTTGAGTAGTAGATGCATTTTTTAAAGCTAATCTAGACCAATACATTGAACAGCAGTTTATTATTACAATGACATAGGATTTGATAGATCTAGCAAGTCATCCCAAAATGCACTTGTTTAGTCTTTTGACACAATGGTCATGGGGTGAAAGAGCAAAAACACAGCGTTCATGTTCGTGCTGGAACCGGCAGCCTCACAGAGCAGAACGGCCTCACAGAGGAGGCAATCCTACCAAGCCGTGAAAACTCCCAAAAGTGACGAGACGCAAAACGACAGCGAGATGCACCGAGACACGCAGTGCACTCTCTCTGCTCACATGCAGAACAGTACTCAGATCTGGTAATTGAGTAAAAGTAGAATTACTCAGATCTGGTACTTGAGTAAAAGTAGAATTACTCAGATCTAGGACTTGAGTAAAAGTAGAAGTACTCAGATCTGGTACTTGAGTAAAAGTAGAAGTACTCAGATCTGGTGCTTGAGTAAAAGTAGAATTACTCAGATCTAGGACTTGAGTAAAGTAGAAGTACTCAGATCTTGTACTTGAGTAAAAGCAGAAGTACTCAGATCTTGTACTTGAGTAAAAGTAGAAGTATTCAGATCTTGTACTTGAGTAAAAGTAGAAGTACTCAGATCTTGTACTTGAGTAAAAGTAGAAGTACTCAGATCTGGTACTTGAGTAAAGTAGAAAGTACTCAGATCTGGTAACTTGAGTAAAAGTAGAAGTACTCAGATCTGGTACTTGAGTAAAAGTAGAAGTACTCAGATGGCGTGTACTTGAGTAAAAGTAGAAGTACTCAGATCTTGTACTTGAGTAAAAGTAGAAGTACTCAGATCTTGTACTTGAGTAAAAGTAGAAGTACTCAGATCTTGTACTTGAGTAAAAGTAGAAGTACTCAGATCTTGTACTTGAGTAAAAGTAGAAGTACTCAGATCTTGTACTTGAGTAAAAGTAGAAGTACTCAGATCTTGTACTTGAGTAAAAGTAGAAGTACTCAGATCTTGTACTTGAATAAAAGTAGAAGTACTCAGATCTTGTACTTGAGTAAAAGTAGAAGTACTCAGATCTTGTACTTGAGTAAAAGTAGAAGTACTCAGATCTTGTACTTGAGTAAAAGCAGAAGTACTCAGATCTTGTACTTGAGTAAAAGCAGAAGTACTCAGATCTTGTACTTGAGTAAAAGTAGAAGTACTCAGATCTTGTACTTGAGTAAAAGTACTCAGATCTTGTACTTGAGTAAAGTAGAAGTACTCAGATCTTGTACTTGAGTAAAAGTAGAAGTACTCAGATCTTGTACTTGAGTAAAAGTAGAAGTACTCAGATCTGTACTTGAGTAAAAGTAGAAGTACTCAGATCTTGTACTTGAGTAAAAGTAGAAGTACTCAGATCTTGTACTTGAGTAAAAGTAGAAGTACTCAGATCTTGTACTTGAGTAAAAGTAGAAGTACTCAGATCTTGTACTTGAGTAAAAGTAGAAGTACTCAGATCTTGTACTTGAGTAAAAGTAGAAGTACTCAGATCTTGTACTTGAGTAAAAGTAGAAGTACTCAGATCTTGTACTGAGTAAAAGTAGAAGTACTCAGATCTTGTACTTGAGTAAAAGTAGAAGTACTCAGATCTTGTACTTGAGTAAAAGTAGAAGTACTCAGATCTGGTACTTGAGTAAAAGTAGAAGTACTCAGATCTTGTACTTGAGTAAAAGTAGAAGTACTCAGATCTGGTACTTGAGTAAAAGTAGAAGTACTCAGATCTTGTACTTGAGTAAAAGTAGAAGTACTCAGATCTGTACTTGAGTAAAAGTAGAAGTACTCAGATCTTGTACTTGAGTAAAAGTAGCCAAGTACTCAGATCTGGTACTTGAGTAAAAGTAGAGTACTCAGATCTTGTACTTGAGTAAAGTAGAAGTACTCAGATCTTGTACTTGAGTAAAAGTAGAAGTACTCAGATCTTGTACTTGAGTAAAAGTAGAAAGTACTCAGATCTTGTACTTGAAGTAAAAGTAGAAGTACTCAGAATCTTGTACTTGAGTAAAAGTAGAAGTACTCAGATCTTGTACTTGAGTAAAAGTAGAAGTACTCAGATCTTGTACTTGAGTAAAAGTAGAAGTACTCAGATCTTGTACTTGAATAAAAGTAGAAGTACTCAGATCTGGTACTTGAGTAAAAGTAGAAGTACTCAGATCTTGTACTTGAGTAAAAGTAGAAGTACTCAGATCTGTACTTGATAAAAGTAGAAAGTACTCAGATCTTGGTACTTGAATTAAAAGTAGAAGTACTCAGATCTGTACTGAGTAAAAGTAGAAGTACTCAGAGCTTGTACTTGAGTAAAAGTAGAAGTACTCAGATCTTGTACTTGAAGTAAAAGTAGAAGTACTCAGATCTTGTACTTGAATAAAAGTAGAAGTACTCAGATCTTGTACTTGAGTAAAAGTAGAAGTACTCAGATCTTGTACTTGAGTAAAAGTAGAAGTACTCAGATCTTGTACTTGAATAAAAGTAGAAGTACTCAGATCTTGTACTTGAGTAAAAGTAGAAGTACTCAGATCTTGTACTTGAGTAAAAGTAGAAGTACTCAGATCTTGGTACTTGAGTAAAGTAAAGTACGCAGATCTGGTACTTGAGTAAAGTAGAAGTACTCAGATCTTGTACTTGAGTAAAAGTAGAAGCACTCAGATATGGTACTTGAGTAAAAGTAGAAGTACTCAGATCTGGTACTTGAGTAAAAGGTAGAAGTACTCAGATCTTGACTTGAGTGAAAGTAGAAGTACTCAGATCTTGTCCTTGGTAAAAGTGGAAGTACTCAGATCTTGTACTTGAGTAAAGGTAGAAGTACTCAGATCTTGTACTTGGAGTAAAAGTAGAAGTACCAGAGTGTAGGAATACTCTTGTTACAGTAAAAGTCCTGCATTCAAAATGTTCCTCAAGTAAAAGTAGAAAAGTATTCTCATCAAAATATAGTGAAAGTAGCGACAGTAAAAGTAGTCATTGTGCAGATTGGTCCATTTCAGAATAATATATATGATATGTTTTATAATGATTGATCATGAAAGTGTTCTCAAAGCTGGTAAAGGTGCAGCTAGTTTGAATGACTTTGTATACTGCAGGGTAGCTTGTGGATTTACTCCAGGTGGAACTAAAGTCTGATTTAACACTTGATTATATTTCACATCATTCATCCACATCTGTGAAGTAACTAAAGGGATTAAATACATGTAGTGGAGGAAAAGTACACCACGTAC